GTTGGATGAAAGGTTGAAAACAGACCTTGAAGGGGCGGGGCAGGTCAGGCTTGGTGTATCGGAGGTAGAGAAGACCGAGGACAACCACACCGATGAAGAGCCACCGCAGGAAACTCATGAAGTTCAACAAGCTGTAGATGTCTCCCACAAACAGCTGCAGCATGGTCATAGGGTACTACACACACAGACAAACACACACACACAGCTGTATTTAAACTGAAACTCGTGCTATCAGTCTGACTCTGTGACAACAAACTGACCAGTATGAAGACAGCAGGCAGCGGAGTGTGTCTGCGGATGTGGATCATAGACAGGAGCTCAGGGAGCTGTCCTTCACGTGACGCCACGTAGAACATTCTGATAAACAAACATGTAAACAATAAACAGAAACACGACAACAGAGTCCGAATGAACACGTCAGGGTTTCACTCATTTATTTGTTCAGCATCTTTTAGATTGATTCATTTCAGGGGTTATTCATGTTCTGGGTTCTTGTGTTTTCAGTTCTGTAACAGCTTCCCCTAAATTCACATTTGGACCTGTCTTTCGTTCCCACCCTGTACGGTGGCCCAGAAGGGTCAACAAAGTGCACAAGCCACAACAAACGCAAAAATGTAAAATAGATGCTAGTTGGTGGCAGCAGTGATGCACCACATTGTAGAAGAAGAAAATGAATGAAGCACAGGGATCAGTGGAGTTTTTGAGAGGAAAACTAAGTAAAGCATTGATATTGTTTAGATCAGGAGTTCTTAACCTTTCTGACCTCGGGGCCCAATTTATTGAACATAAAGTGACACGAGGCCCAGTCAGACATTACCAATGTATGGATCAAAATGATAATTATTATAAATCAATAACAAAAATAGACAATTCAACGAATAAAATTGTGGGCATAAAATAAATAAATTAAAAATGTTTAATGTAAATGTTTCAAATAAAAAACCTGTAAAACAAATTTGATAAAGTACAAATGAAAATATATCATTTTTAAACTTTTACAACCAGAAGCTGCTCTTCATATTAGTGACAAACAATAACAGTAACAACAGCTTTTTGACAAGTTTAAAGTTCCTTTAAAATACATTCAAAATGTTTAAAAATAAACTACAAAAACTAATTTAAAGTTCAAATTAAAATATAGTTGTATCTGCAACTGTATTTGATAATGTTTTGAACTTTTAAAATATTACATGGTAAAAACAGAAGCTGCTCTTCATATTAG